AGATTTTTAATCCATCTGTTCACTCTTTACATCTCTGCTATTATAAGACATAATAAAATAAATTTGCAACCAAATTCAGTGTTGCAGTTTTTTACTGTATCTATTAATTATTAAAATAAACTTTGTAACATGAGATAAAATATGTAAAGAGAAAAAAATCACATCTGATAATTTTCAGGCACCTGGATATTTCCAGTGTCTGTTAATATGCCTCTCAGTTTCTTGTTTTTAAGAACATGGTTGGGAGCACTATAGTAAAGAAACAGGAACAATTTTCTATCCTTCTGATTTTGTTTCACATTATTCTGCAAGTGACTTTCCTATAGCTGCACAATCTTCATGTGAATCTTCACATCATGTGAGTGGATACATACAATTCCTCAAAGTAGGTATTTTTCCAAACCATCTAATTACTCCCTACTGTATGATTTTCTATTGTTTTTCATTTCCCATGATTCTTTTAAAATACTACAATACAATACTACTATATATGGTATTCATATATATTTTTTTCATTCTTGAGACTTGATCACCAAAAGTATAATTACAGAGTCAATGTCTATATCATACAACTTAATGTTTATTCATGGTTCTAAAGAAGGTATGTCTTAATATTCTTTATTTAAAATTCTGTGGTAATCAGCTCTTTTCTAGTGCCCAAGCTTCATGGTTTCATTAGGCTCATGGTCTCCTTGCCATGTGGCTAGCACAAGGTATATATATATATGTTTGGTACCTCTGCCAATGGCTGTCCATAGTGTATAGAATGTATTTAGGCCTCATGGTATACATTTCTGTTCCTAGACTGGATGTTTCTGTTATAAGAAGTTGTCATAAATAACATAAATTGTCAAATAGTGTAATAACTTTTGCTGTGAAATATAGATTTCTTTCAATCTTACCTGAGACAAAATCAGTTGTAAATAGATGGATACGATCTAGATCTATCATGGAACTATAAGGCCATTTAATAAAATCTCCTTATTTACCAAGACTGTGGCATCACAGAAAGAACTTTTAATTTGAAATCTGAGGACCTAGATTAGAGCCCCTGTCCCAGAGCTTTCTCTCTTTGTGACTCTGGATGAGCAATTTTCCTCTTTGAGCCTTGGTTTCCTTGTTTATTGAGTACCTGTCATGTCTAGGTAAGACAGTTAATCTCTTTAGTCATCACAGCTCTGTAAAATTGGCATTATTGACACAGTTTCATGGCGGAGGTTTAATAACTTTGCTGAAGTCATACAGGTTGCCTATTGGAAATGAGATTCCAACCCATATCTGTCTGGTTCCAAAAAGCATATCATATTGTCACTGTAAGATCTTTACCCACCATGAACTAAACTTTCTCATTAAAATAAGGCAGTGGTTAGACACTGTGGTTAATAGAAGCAGAGATTTGGAATCAGACAGATCTTGGTTCACATTCCAGCTTTTTATCTAACCATTTTATCACCAGTGACTTGGAGCAAATTACTTAAGTTTTCTGAGCCTCAATTCCCTTATTTTATAAAATCATGATAGAGAATAGTAGCCTCCCATGGATATGATATGAACTAAATGAGGAAATTCATATAAAATACCTAATACACAGACTGAGACATAGTAAGAATTAGATAAGTAGCAGTTGTTTTATTATTGTCACTGTTGTTTTTTGTTTGTTTGTTTTTTGTTTTTTGTCACTGTTGTTTTTTGTTGAGAATGTTAATGTTGTTATTGCTGTGGTGCTCTTCCTGCTGTTACTTGAACAAGTTACCAGGATATAAAATAAACAGTGTACTAGAGTGTTAAGATCTTGATCTCTGGACTCATATAATCTGAATTTGAATTCCTGATCCATCTATCACTGCTTAATTATAAACACTTTATTGAGTTGTTTATTCCAAGTTCCACTCATCTCATTTACAAAATAGAGTTATGAATGGCGGAGTAGTTGAACAGATAAAATGAGTGGAGAATTCTGTGGAGGATGAAAGAATATACAATGATGCTCAAATTTTTGTATATGGTGATGCATCTTGTTATATGTATGTTCATGTATAGAAAATTCAAGAAGTACAGGTTGTAATGGAAAGATAGATTCATTTTCTAAACATATTGAGCATTATTATTTGGGGGAAATTCTAAGACAATCTATTTAAGGGCTAAACTGAAGAAAATGAAGGGTTCAAATGTAGGTGATGTCCAAATGGAAGAAAACAATATTTTTTTCCTAGTACTTAGGAAATCTCTGTGGATTTTGAAGAATAGATAGAATTTGGTGGAAAGCATGAGGAAAGAGATTCCTTCAACCTAAGGACATCAACATATGGTCCATGGCTAAGCACATCTAGTTCATACCCTTCAAACGATCTCATGTGCCAAGGGGGTCCCATTCCTAGACTCCAGCATGTGTACTCAGATTCACTTTGGTCCAACCCCATCCTCAAAGCCCTAGTAGGAGAGAAAGGGTTCTGAGATTACTCTATATTCTATAGTATGCCACTTATCTTCCCAGGACTGAGGTACAGTGGTGGGGTAGAGGTGCAGGCAGGATAAAGACAAGGAACAGCACTTGAGGGAACTGTTTATTTTAAAAGTTAAGCTTTGATTTGAAGTCATTACGTTGTCTGAATATTTTTCAGTATTTTCTTGAGAAATCACCTGGGATTTGGGGAGATAAAAGAGAAGAGATTTTCCCTACCAAATTAAAAGACAAAAGCAAAAACAGTTCACATAACCATAAAATGTTGAGAAGCAGCAGCATAGTACATACAATACGTTCTACAGAAGTGGCTCTCAAACTTTTTAGTCTCAAGACCTCTTTACACTCTTAAGAATAATTGCAGGCTCTGTAGAGTTTTGTTTATATAGTTAAATTTATTGACATTTACTATATTGAAAATTAAGATTGAGAAATGTTTTATTTTTTTTTTATTTATTTATGATAGGCACACAGTGAGAGAGAGAGAGGCAGAGACACAGGCAGAGGGAGAAGCAGGCTCCATGCACCGGGAGCCCGATGTGGGATTCGATCCCGGGTCTCCAGGATCGCGCCCTGGGCCAAAAGCAGGCGCCAAACCGCTGCGCCACCCAGGGATCCCGAGAAATGTTTTAAAAATTTGTTTATTGATTAACTTAAAATAACTATAAGCACTTTATCTGTTCACATAAATAAAATTTCTTATTAAAGAAAACCTATATTTCTCAAGCCAAAAAATAAAAATAGGTGAGAAAAATATCAATTTTTATTTTTGTACATCTTTAATGTCAGGCTTCAATAGAGAATGGCTGGATTCTCATATCTCCTGCATTTAATCTGTTGTAATAACACAATTAATATTATAAAGCCTCTGGAAAACTACTATATGCTCATGAGAGGAGAGTGGACAAAGCAAAGAATGTCTTAATGTACTTAGAATAGCTTTGACCTCCACACCCTCCTGAAAGAGTCTCAAGGTACCTCTGGATTCCATGACCCACACTTTGTGAACTGCTGTTCTACAGCATTATCAGTTCTAGAATCAGGTGGTCCTAGATTCAAAACTTCAGCTGTGTAACCCTAAGCAAGATAATCTACCTCTCTAGACCTCCATCTTCTCATTTTTAAGTTAGGAAGATAAAATATTAATTAACCTCATAGGATTCAGGGGAGGATTAAGGATTAAAATAATGCATGCAAAAAATTCATAGCCCAATGCTAAGCATATAGTAAGAGAGATCATCCAGGTCTGTTCTGTCTATAAATGGATGAGGAACTGGGGCCCCAGAGATGAAGTCACTTGCCCGAGGTCATACTTAATAGATGTTGGCTCCCCTTCTTCTAGGTCCTGTGCAGGATTTATACTTGGGTTTTGTGTGCCTCTCCACCATGGGCTACCTGGACCATAGGATTTTTAAGTGGGTCATCTTCAGTGCCCTTCATGGTGGCAGAAGGGAGCAGAGCTGTCATAGCGATGAAGAAAGAGGACCTATCTTATATATTAACAGCTGCTGGTGTGGCCATCTTCCCAAAGCCCTGTTTTTGTCACTTCCTGACTCCTCTTGCTGCTTTCTAAGACCATCTCCAACACTAGTCCCCACATGTACTCTCCTTTTCTTCTGGGACACCCACAGACTGACTCATACTGTTCTCCTGGCTTCATATACCCTATATTCTCCCTATTGTTATGAAAATTAAATAACAAAAAGGGTACAAAGTGTTTAGCATTATGGCTGGCACAGGACTACATTCAAGTGGTCATTGTTATTAAATATATCACTGGCCCCACCTCTTCTATTAATTTTCTCTGACTAGTCTTATAAATTGGCCTCTCCTGTTTGATTAGACCTATTGCCAACTCTTATTGAGATTCCCTTACTGAACAAAGTATCAGAATAAGTGTTCTTTTTAAAAAGATTTTATTTATTTGAGAGAGAGCATGAGAGAGAGAGAGATCACAAGCAAGAGGAAGGGGCAGAGGCCGAAGCAGACTCTTGCTGAGCAGAGAGCCCTATGCAGGACTCCATCTCAGGAGCCTGAGATCATGACCTAAGCTGAAGGAAGACTGATGGAGCCCCTGGGGGCTGAGAATAAGTGTTCTTGAATTAACCCTCCTCCCTGAGAAGAGGCAAGAGGTAAAATGCTCCCTAATTGATAGACACATCTCTGAGGTGGCTGTAGAAGTGCAAAGACTATTTCATTCTCTGTCTTTAAAAACATTTTTATTTGGATGTTCAGAAGACCAATAACTCCTGTTGTTGACAGGCTTTACTCTTTCAAAGGTATTAAAATTATGACATTTAATAATTATTATTTTAATCCCATCTTACATATAAGAGAACCAAGTTAGAGAAATTCAAATGGCTTGTGCAAGAACACACAGAAAGTCACTCATACTGCAACCAGCAGCATGACTAGCAATGGAAATTTCCAGACTTCCTGTGTAAGGGCCTGGTAGGATAACTCTGCTTAGGAATCTAAAATTTGTCCTAAATATTTTTTATTGCAGGGAGACAAATGTAAGAGACAGAGCTTGGTCAAATGGTTGTGCTGTCTTTTTATTCCCTTCCAGAATGTAGTATCTAGCAATACTCAGGGATATTATCATCAATGCTCTTGCCTTCGTCTGAAGATGATCCATTATCCAAAGATCCTGGACTCTGATGGACACAGTTCACTGTGGCTTGGGGGCAGACCACAGGGGGGCAGCATGCATGGTGGCAGCAAACCGAATCAGCACCTTGGGAAAGTGAAAAAGCAGATATCATAATGTGTGTATCTTTGCTTTCCTAACACTCTCCAGACATGTAGAAGAAATTTGCTGAGACTAAAGTGTGAAAAGAGGAGAGCCATGAACACAATAAAAATGTTGTCAAACTGGACTGTGGGATGGTTGCACAAATATATATATACTTGCTAAAAATCATTGAATCATACACTTAAAATGGATGATGTTTATGGCGGATAAACTATACCTCAATAAAGCTGTTGAGAGAGAAAAAGACAGAGAGAGAAAAGAAGTGATAGGGAGTAATGTAAACTCAGAACTCAAATATTCCCAGGCCTGAAGATGAATATCCATTTTTTCCCTGCATTGGCAAAAAGTAAATCTAATGACTACAAGCTACTGAAACATAACACCTCTGTTCTCTTTTTCCTCATTTCTGGATAACAGGCAAAAATGTAACTGTGAATGCTACCTTTATCTATTCAAATACTGTCATTTATAAATCAAGTGACTGCCGGAGTAGCACCTGTGAAGGCATCGACCTACTCAGGGAAATTTCAGTAAGTAAATGCTGTTTAGGTATCGCTCACACTTCTTGCTTAGCACCTGTCCGTGAACATCTCTTATGTCATCTCTAGTCACAGAGCTGAGTGTTTTGGAGAGAGGATAGTCTGATTTCATTTCCATATATTTCTCAAGTGATGAGGGGCCTCTGGGAATCCGGGAAAGTGGGGAGAAACTTCTATGTTCTCTTTGTACACTATCAGTGTTTCACAGGGGAATTATTTTGTTTTAAATTGTCTTCAGAACTTGTTAAAAATTTAAATGTTGGCGTTAGCTGGTCTTCTTTTATGTCCCTCAGGAAGTACGTGAGATAAGGCCCTAGACTAGAGGTCTCTGTTTTGAGTCATCACCATTATATGTGGTCACAGATTAATTGCTGAAGGGCTGAATCTGCAACCTAAATTTTAAAGTAGTTAACTGTAATGTTAGAGGGTAGAAATGAGAAGGGAGAGATTCTTGTTCCTCCTTGCTCCCAACTCCCAACCCCAGTCAAGGCTTTATGGAGTGAAAGAATGTTCCAGGCTCTCTAGAGGCAAGTAACTGTGCAAGAAGCCTTTTTCCCACAAAAACCCAAAACAGGGCTCTTCTAGAAGCAGAGCACTGGGTGTAGAACCACAGTTCAGAAGCTTTGATCAATAGCATCACCCTGACCAGAGGGGTCGGCTCATGTAAGGAGTGGCTGATTACAGTGATCTGTCTCAACCTTGGGGGAGCCAGGAGTGAGAATGGGGAGTTTATGCTCCCCTTTATGATGCCAGGCACGTACTTCATCCCTTAACCTCTACAGATAGAGGTAGGCCTTGGTTTTCCAAAGCCAGGGATGGAATGTTCCTAATCACATTCCTCTTGAGAAATAGTAGCAGACACAATCTACGATCACCCACTGTTCACATTGCATTTTGTTCTCTTTAGCTCTGTTTTGTAGCTTTCCTTAAACTGCAACTTGCCCTCTTCCTTCAAAGCACCTCCAAACCTAGTCTTCCCACTATCTGGCCCACAGACACTGCTTGGGTTACAGTTTGTCAGTCCTTCTCCCCGCACCCTGAATCTTCCTCTGGATGAAGAATCTAAGTTCACTTCTAGGCCAAATGTCCTTCTTCCACTCGGAGCATCATCACTTTCTCAGACTTCTTTCTCCCTTAGTGCCTGAGGCCCAGCCCAAGGCACTGTATGTTGCTCCTTTCTTGGGAGGCCCCCTTTCTTTCTTTCTTTTTTTTTTTAAGATTTTATTTATTTATTTATTCATGAGAGACACAGAGAGGGGCAGAGACATAGGCAGAGGGAGAAGCAGGCTCCCTGCAGGGAGACCAATGCAGGACTCCATCCCAGGACCCCGAGATCACACCCTGAGCCAAAGGCAGATGCTCAACCACTGAGCCACCCAGGTGTCCCAGGAGGGCCTCTTTCAAACCTTCTGGAGTGCCTTCCCCTCTTGTCCTTCTTTCCTGTCCATTTATTCATTGTTTTCATTTTAGAGATTTGTTTTTCTTGTCTTTCTTGTGTTTTTTCCTACAGAACAACAAACGAATGGGCTGTGTCCTCATGGGACCCTCGTGTACATATTCCACCTTCCAGATGTAGTAAGTAGTTTGGTCTGTTGTTATTGTAATGCCACTGTAAGTTGAAGTCAGGGCATGATATCACTATTTAAATGATTTATCAAATAGCAGTCTAGTCGAGGCAATACAGTCAGAGGTGTTGGAACCCTCGTATTTTGCTACTTCTCCCTAAGTGTCATTGTCTTATCCAGGTAGCTCTGCCTTTGCTTACTGTGGGGTGAATAACTGTAGCTATTCAGCTCCAGTTACTAACATCTGAGCCTGAGACGCAAGATGGTATAGGTAAAAAGTGAGAGTCCTGGCAGGAGACAGGGAAGACAATGAACTTGGATAATTTGAGGAGTTTATTTATTTTTTTTCATTTGAGGAGTTTAATAAAAGAAATCTTCACTAAAGTTTGAGCAGAGTGTATGGAAAGACACAGGAAAAGTATAGCACCCAGGGCACTAGCAGGGCTCTGTTCTATTCCTTAGGACCTAGAAAAAAGGAAAGTAGCAAGGTATTTCACAGCACTGATGATTATATAGTTAACATAATAAAGTACCTTCCACAGTGCCCTTATCAGCTTAGGGGGAAAAAAAAGTTTCCAGGGTGCCTGTGTAGCTCAGTCAGGTAAGTGACTGCCTTTAGCTCAGGTCATAATCCCAGGAGTCCTGGCATCCAGCCCACTTTAGGCTCCCCGCTCAGCAGGGAGGCTGCTTCTCCCTCTCCTTCTGCCCCTCCCCTGCTCCTTCTCTTTTTTTCACTTTTCACTCACTCTCTTTCTCAAAATAAATAAATAAATAATTAAAATCTTAAAAAAAAAAACAAAATAGGAAATTTGTAAAGCTTCCAATATATTCCGCAAAAAAAATATTTCTCTGCCTTTGGGAAAATCACCCTCATCCCTTCCATTCATTTCACTCAGTGCAATTCTCATAATTCTCATCACCGCAAAACATTTTGTTGTGCCAAATCACATCTTCCCCAAATCAAAATCCCTCTTCCGTGCCTTTCTTTCATCTGTTCAGTCTTCCCCTGAATTAAGGATCACCTTTGTCTAGATAGAGAAAATTATGCTGAAGGTAAAATTAAATTTCTGAAATTTCTATCGCAAAGTGTGCTTCTGACACCTCCTACCAGCTCTACAAACAGCTCTAAAACACACTCAGATGTTCAGACCCACTATGTGCCACAGACACACCACAGAAACACTTTCTCAGCTCATTTTCCATATCAAAGTACGGGCAGATACGGACTCTTACTCTTCCTTGTGCTCATTCCCAATTGTCATCTTATCTGACCACTTATTGATTTGCTGTAGAATGTGCTCAGAAGGAAAGGAGAAGTAGGAAAATTGATTCACTATTTCTGAGGACCTTTCATGTGCAAAGACGCATTTTGGCTTTGTCGCAGTGGAGAGCATTAAGTAAAACACAGCCTCTACCTGATGAAATAGAGAAGGTGAGGGGAGCACTGGGACCAGTACAAGGCAGAGGGTGATACCCTCCATTGAAGAAACACAGGATGATGTGGGGTGCTCAGAAGGAAGGAGCCCCTTGGGATCCCTGGGTGGTGCAGCGGTTTGGCGCCTGCCTTTGGCCCAGGGCGCGATCCTGGAGACCCGGGATCGAATCCCACGTGGGGCTCCCGGTGCATGGAGCCTGCTTCTCCCTCTGCCTGTGTCTCTGCCTCTCTCTCTCTCTCTCTCTCTCTCTCTCTCTGTGTGTGTGTGTGACTATCATAAATAAATTTTAAAAAAATAAAAAAAAAGAAGGAAGGAGCCCCAACTTGTTGGTAGAGCGAAGCTCAAGAGGGGAAGAATTTCAAGGAGAAGATAGTCTATAAGTTGAGTGTTAAAGAACAGGTGAAATTTTAAAGGGTAGCAATGAAGGGATAAGCATCCCAACCAGGCAGAGGGAGCATTATGTGTGAAAGCAAAGAAGTAGAGAAGTGTAGAGATTTTGTACACATCAGTAGTTAACTGGTGTGCAAGAGATGAGCAGGGGAATAATAGAGATAAAACTAGAAAAAATATGTAGGGCTATATTTGAGAGGTCATGAGTTCCAAGTGAGGGAAGTGTATTTAATTAGATTTGTATCAGAAACAAATAAGATTGTGCAAGGAGGTGCCATACAAAGCAGCTCAAGTTTGGGAAGAATAAGTTCCAACGGTATACAGGATAGGCTGAGCACACAGGAGAGATAGGTGGGGAAAGTCATTGGGGGGCTGGAGAGAAGAGGGCTGAACTAGCATATAAACAGTTGACATGGAAAGGAGGGATAGCCTTTAAAGATACTTAAGGGTAGAATCAATAACATTTGATAACTGTTGGAGTGAGGGATGGAAAGTAGACAAAAAAAAAACACCACTGAAATAAATAGGGTAATAAGGATAGGAGCAGTTTTGAGGAAAAAAATAAAAAATAAATTTGACCATGGACACAGGGAGTCTGAGATGCAAGCAGAACACCTAGTGAAACCCTTCAGTGCAGCCCTCAAGATGGAAGGGATGTGTTGCTTTGCTTCCTTTACCAAGTGCACATCAAAAGTCTTCATATGACTCCACAGGACTGGAGATACAGAGGTGAACAAGCCAAATATGACCTCTGTCTTCATGGAGATTGCAGTCTTGTGGAAAAGACAGATAGGAAACACATGCCCACTTGAGGAATCAAGGAAAAGTTCTGAAGGATAAAGAGATATTTAATTCAGGACTCAATGGATCAGTAAGATTCAGCCAGGCAAAGAGGCAAGGGGAACAGCACTTCTGGCTTATGTCCAGGCCCTAATAGAGAAGAAAGTTGACGTGTTTCAGGAACCACAGGAAGATCCATGTGTTAAACGGGGAAGGAAAACTGTAAAATTGTCAGGTGATGTGTATCTCAAAGTAATCCGTAGAAGAGCCAGAAGTAAGGCAATGCAAAGATGGAAAAGTATGGAGGATATCTTTTGGGCTCCCTGACATCTATGGTAGTTGTGGGGGCCATTGTCTGTTCTCTTAGCCCTACTCCGCCAAAGGCATATGTCCCAGTCTAGATGTTATGACAATTCGTTTTAGGATAAATCGAAGGAACCACACCACCACATAAACATGAAAATACCCAGAGTATCTTAAAGCTTAACATATGCTCAATAAATATTGTTCTAAAATTTCCCTGTGTGGGAGGGACACCTATTTAAATTAGAAACCCACTTGAAGGACCCTATTTCATTCTTACCATTTATAACCAACCACGGGCGGAAGCAGGTTAAAGAGGAATCATATTTGTTCTATTTAAGTTAATCCTGACATTGGTTTCTTTCTCATCTTATGGTTAGCCTTGACACAGACTTGAACTATCCCATGATTTCAGCTGGGAGTTTTGGATTGTCATGTGACTACAAAGAGACTTTAACCAGGCTGATGTCTCCGGCTAGGAAGCTGATGTACTTCTTGGTTGACTTTTGGAAGGCCAATAATTTGCCATTCAAAGATTATTCCTGGAAAACTGCATATGTTTTCAAGAATAGCACCGAGTCTGAGGACTGTTTCTGGTAAGCAGGACCACTAATATGCTTCTAGCACTGCCCATGGACTCTCCACCCAAGTATGCAAAAGAGTAATGGTACCACATTTAGGGAACTGCAAGAATCAACCCTAAGACCTCTTCCTAGAAACTTTGGGGTGAACTTAGCACAATACTCCATTTCACCCAGTAAATAAAAGATTCCTGTCAACTCTCAGTTTTTGTACTATAGACTCAAAGGTTTCAACTTATCTGTGATAATGAAGTTTATAGACAGAGCAGCCTTCCTTCTGCTAATAGCAGGAAACCATTATAAGGTACCTGCCAAATGTCTACCATTTGTTTATATACATGGAGATTCCCTAAAACTTCTATACTTTTACTAAACTAGATATCCACCATCCAGACTATTGATACCATGGTGTGAACCATCTGTTGTGTTGATAGTGGAAATGAATCTTAGATGAACAAGTTCCAGGACAGATCTGTAAGCAATGAGCAAACAATATGGAAGGTCATGAAGAAACTATGCTGGTTTCTTAGAGTTTCTCATTTATCTTTTCTAGGTACCTCAATGCTCTGGAGGCTGGAGTCTCCTATTTTTCTCAGGAACTTAGCTTCAAGGAAATGTTGAGGCGAGATGACCAATTTCAGGATATCTTAATGAACCAGAATAGGAAAAGCAATGGTAAGAAGACATGGAAATAATTTTTTGTCAATTTTTTCCTTACAACTACCACATTTTATGAGTTGTTTTGACAGATCTATTACCACAAAGCTATCCTCATTACCTCCATATATCTTGTTCACTCGCGGAGATGCAGAGTTGCATGCAACTCCATCATATTATTCCTCCTGTTGATTAAAACTCTATCCTATTAGAGAAAGGAGAAAGATAGTGTTGAATAAACACATTAAACATCATAAAAGTAATGACGAAAACCTAGCTTTTATAAACCAAAATGATATGACTCACCATTGATAAACTGCTTTTTAAGTTATCTATTATTGGATTTGTGACTAATCTATTATTGGATTTATGACTAATCTTCACACATTATGAACCCTGGGCCTGTGATGACCAAGAGGATCTATTTACTGATATCTGACTTCAATTAAAATTACAAGGTTAGCAGACCATATCACTTTCATCTGTCCCTGTATCTCACATGACCAGTGATCTCTCAGCTAACAGGTCAAGTATGGGATAAAATCATCCTTGCTAAGTTATGACGTGATTCGTTTCATTTTCCAATAGTTCTCTTTACAAATAAGATATATCAGGAGCAAAGGAATAATTTGTGGACCTTTCCTACAAAGGGAAGATGCTTGCTCACTAGGAATTCCTAGTATCACTCAAATCATCACCTGCTGGCATTATTAAGCATTTGTCATACTAAGAAACTTCCACGTACAAAACATTGCCAAGATGTGGGGGAAACAAGTATAAATATCCCTTAAAAAGAAGTATTCATGTCCCTAAGGTGTTTACAATTCAATTGAACAAATAGTATATAAAAAGATGCAATGAAATGTCCCCCCAGCTCCACTTTCTCATAGTCATGCATTTGGGAAATCTGGTGGCAAAGAAGAAGAAAGCTCACAGAATCACATTGGACTCTGTCACTGAAATCTCTAAGACTGAATTCTGAGTTAAAAAGCTATAAACAGGAGATCCCTGGGTGGCTCAGTGCCCGCCTTTGGCCCAGGGCGTGATCCTGAGTCCCAGGATCAAGTCCCACATCAGGCTCCCTGCATGGAGTCTGCTTCTTCTGCCTGTGTCTCTGCCTCTCTCTCTCTCTCTCTCTCTCGCTCTCTCTCTCTCTATCATGAATAAATAAATAAAATCTTTAAAAAAAAAAAGCTACAAACAAAGCTCAAGGGAAGTTGCTTAGGAGCACTACATAAATTCTCAGATTTCCTTTACTGTATCTTTTTCAACCACTTTACAATTGGTGAGGTGCAGATCACTTATCAGTGAAAACAGTTTTCATAACTACTCCAATCTGGTAAAATAGAATAAACACTGAATCGATTCATAAAGTTGAAAATAAGAACTCTGCCATCTACTTGTTTTTTAACCTTTTGACATCTTGGCTTCCAGTCTCCTTAAATCAATAAAATTAAGGGAATGGACCAGAGGATTCTTTTCAAAATCTCATACAATTTTACTCTGACACTACACCTGTAACGAACAAACAAACAAAACAAAAGCAAAAGACAGTAATTGATGAATTGGTGCTAATCTTAAAACATAAATGTATCATTGACCTACTGTTTGTATATAGACTGTTGTGTATTTCTGTCCTTATCTTACCCTCTCTCCTCCAGTGATTGTTACGTGTGGTACACCAAGCACCATCAGCTCCCTCAAGGGAGACCGGGCAGTGGCTGAAGACATTGTGATTATTCTAGTGGATCTATTCAAGTAGGTATAATATTGGAAAGAACTCTTCTCTTTTCAGAAAGGAAAGATTCCCAGGATTTCCAAAAGATGCATTCTCTTTTCTCTTGCTTTGCAAAGACTTGAATGGGGTTCAGTCATTAAAATATGATAGTATTTTAATCAATGTTTTATTCTTTCATCATGCCCTCATTTTCATTTAATTAATTGTGGCCTTAGCAGACATGCATATCTTTGACATCATTATCATGTCTAAAACAGAAGATTTATGACCCATTAACCCCATATGTCTACTCATCTACAGAGATCCTGGTCTCCAGCCTGATTTTAAGATATTTTTCCAGGCAGTGATAAATCAACCAATAACCCAAAAACATTATTTTTGAGAATGTGGGCCTTATCTGTGCCTTCTATTGCTAATGGCCTTTGATCCTAGATTATTTTTCCTTTGCCACCTTTGGTAAAGAAGAAAGTTTCAGTTACATGAGTTTGCTTTTCTGCCTTCTGTGATCCAGTCACAGTGATTTTATCCTCTGTAATTCTCTAGAACTAGAGAGAGAAAATTCTGGAGAATACAAACCATCTTCCTTCCTTCCATCCTTCCTTTCCTTATATTTCAATATTTATTTTTAATTTTTTAAGGGCAGCCCGGTTGGCTCAATGGTTTAGCACCGCCTTCAGCCCAGGGCATTATCCTGGAGACCCAGGATCCAGCCCCACATCATGCTACCCGCATGGAGCCTGCTTCTAACCTCTGCCTGTGTCTCTGCCTCTCTTGTTCTCTGTGTCTCTCATGAATAAATAAATAAAATCATAAAATAAAATAAAGGTAATTCCAGGGCTGCATTCCTCGGGGATCCCTTGGTGGCTCAGCGGTTTTGTGCCTGCCTTCTGCCTGGGGCATGATCCTAGAGTCCTGGGCTAGAGTCCCACATCAGGCTCCCTGCATGGAGCCTGCTTCTCCTCTGTCTGTCTCTGCCTCTCTCTATTTCTGTGTCTCTCATGAGTAAATAAATAAAATCTTTTTTAAAAAATTGGAATGTAATTAACATACAGTGTTATATTTTACCACTCATCTTCTAATATGGTTGGAGACCCTACAAACTGTGCCAAGATGGTATTTGAGTCAGATTGAGCTTATAGAAAGTGTCACTGGTGCACCTGTGTCCCTTGCCCCATTGGCTAGATCATATGACCTCACTTATCTGATTGCATCATTAATCATTATACCAGTCTCTATTCAGACTGGATACTGTTAATGTACTACATATTTCCCATATTTACCTAGTCACTTCACCCATACTATATGTACTTGTCACAGTGTTAAGAGGAATGAAGCATAGGAACTGCGGGTCTATTTAACTACTAGTTGTTCGTTAAGGTAATCCAATCAATCAATAGGCTTTTAGCTTCAAAATACAGAAAAGAAGACAAAGTTATCAATAGTTCTTTCCTACAACCACATTGACAGCCACTTTCAATAGTTGCTTTGCCCTCTGGAAGGAGTCCTCAATGTAGCCAGGTTGGTGTAATCTTACTTTTAGCAAATCCTCAACCACCTGCCAAAGTGTTGGCATTCCTTTGTCACTGTACTCAAAGGACACCTGGCCATGTTGTGGGAAGATCATGAGATGTGTTTGAAAGCTGATACTAAGTGGCTTTCAAATTGTAATTCTGACACTTCTGGTTTATTTGACTTTTGGATATTACTTAGAATCTTGAAATTAAAACTTCTCTTTTGGGGATCCCTGGGTGGCGCAGCGGTTTGGCGCCTGCCTTTGGCCCAGGGCGCGATCCTGGAGACCCGGGATCGAATCCCACGTCGGGCTCCCAGTGCATGAAGCCTGCTTCTCCCTCTGCCTATGTCTCTGCCTCCCTCTCTCATTCTGTGTGACTATCATAAATAAATAAAAATTAAAAAAAAAAAAAAAACTTCTCTTTTGTAAAATGAGAATAAAGATGCCTACTTCATAGGAGTACTTTTAGAATTAGGTATGATACTATGAGCAAAATATTCAATCTAGTCCTCGGTGCATAGATGTGTTCGCCTACTGTTTGAATAGTAAATTATGGCTAGCCTAGTTATAACAGTTCAAACATGTTAGATTCTTTGCATATTAAAACACTCAAATGATCTGGAAGCTTGGAAACTATATGATTTGCAGCACAACCTTAGACAGTTTTGAGGATTTAAAATAGACCTACTATCCCCTAAGAGTTGAGGATATGAGATCAATACACTAAAGTCAAGGAGCTTACAGTGTTAGAGAAAATGTTTAGTCTTTTCATACTTATGTTTCACCATAAATTTATCAAATTCCTCTGTATCCTATCCCAATATATCTAAACTATTATGAACACCTAAAGAAAAGAAAGTTTCCATGTATAGACCAAAGATCAGTAAGCCCTGAAAGCGAGCACTAGCTCACATGTCCAGCGGCCAAAAAAAAAAAAAAAAAAAAAAAAAAACCTCCTTCTTAGGGCACCTAGGTGGCTCTGTCAGTTAAGCATCTGCCTTTGGTTCAAGTCATGATCCCAGAGTTCCGGGATTGAGCCTTGCATCATCAGGCTTTCTGCTCAGCAGGGGAGCTTACTTTTCCCTCTCCCTCGGCCCCCTCCCCCAGCTTGTGCTCGCTCTCCCTCCCCCCTCAAAAAGAGATAATAAAGTCTTAAAAAAAAAAAAACCTTCCTCAAAGATGTATCTGTGTTTTGATCTTCCTGTCCACTTGTGGGTGTAAACCACAGCCCTCTTACTCAACTTAGCATATTAGAGGACAATAAACCTATCTGGGGAAGTAGAAAGTTTTACAGGTTTTGGAAGAAAATGTTTATAACTATTTCAAGGCTGGCATTGTAGCTTGTGGGATTTGTAGAAGCTCCATATGATTTTTAGAAGAACCTAATTTTCACTAGGAACTTGTGGTTTTTATTACAGTAACGACTACTTCATGGACAATGTCACAGCCCCTGACTATATGAAAAATGTCCTTGTCCTCACCTTGCCTCCTGAGTATTCCATCTCCAATAGCTCTTTCTCCAAAGGCACACCACAGGTTAGTTTCATGAGTATGTTCTCTTTCCTTTGTCAAGGGTAAGATATTATCGTCCTATGCAGGACCCAAATTCTAAAGTAGCAATTGTTTTTTGTTTGTTTGTTTGTTTGTTTGTTTGTTTTACTCCCATTCACTTAACAAATGTAAACTGAGATCAACTATGGGCAATAGGAAGATTACTGATACTTAAACTCGTACTAGAGGTCACTCTGCTGGGCTCTACACCAACACAACAATGCACATTCTTACACTGGAATGGAAGTGACAATGTGGGAAAATAGGAAGAAGCCCTGCTAATTTGGGGAAGTTGAAACTAAACAATGTAAAAAAAAAAAAAAAAGTGAAGTTTCCTACATCCTAAAGCAACTTTCTGCTGTCACTGATATCAAAATTCTACCTTCAGAGATACAGATTTCTA